ATGATTAATTAAAATATTGCTTTACTGTAAATAAACATGCACAAATAAATAAATGTTCAAACAGGACCTATATAATGTGTGTTTTGATGCTGTGTTCCGGTGTAAATTATTGTGAAATTAGAGCAAAAGTTTTCGTGCGCTCCCTCAGCATCACATCATGCTGATATCAGTATTATTATCTGGATCAGATCTTCTGGAATTACCAATATCTGCTTCATATCAGTTTTATCACGAAGCCATAAAGCGGATCTGCCCACGTGTGCAAAGTTTGACAACAGCTTCCAACGTCTGTCCATTCATAGGCTGATGGAAATTATAAATCATGACTTCATTAAAGACAGGAGAATATATATTAAAGTACAGGAATAATCACACAATTTAATAATAATAGCTGAGATGACCCTGCTTTCAGACGGCTGAGGAATTTCCCACAAGCTCGTGAAGAAACGGAGACTAAAGCAGAGGCTGATTCCAGCTGGGAATTCCAGATAATTAAACTCTGTAGAGCAGGACAGTACTTTCATACATGCTCGGATTCACATCATTATATAATTATATTATAATCAAGCATAAATACTAACATTTTTTTTTCAATTTTTATATATTTTACATATTGTTTTATGAATAAATAAGCCACACGGACAGAAAGGCTCATTGCAAATTGTTGCAAACAATTGAAGGTGAATTTAAACAAACAAATTAAGTTGAACATACTAAATTTAATTAGTTTGTTTCAGTTCAGCCCATATAAATAGTCTACAAACACACTTTAAAAGGTGATGAGTTACTTAATGAGACTAAACCAATTGCCTTAAAAGCAACTAGTTGACTTTACAGTATAGTCGATATGTAAAACCATTGTCACTTTTTTAAAATAAAAGTAAACTAATCACTTTTTTAATACACCTTTATTATATTTGTTTTTCCCCAGCTTTTATCAAAATGACATTCAGTAAAATATCTGCTCTTCCAGACTCATTCATTCATTTTCTTGTCGGCTTAGTCTCTTTATTAATCCGGGGTCGCCACAGTGGAATGAACCGCCAACTTATCCTGCAAGTTTTTACGCAGTGGATGCCCTTCCAGCCGCAACCCATCTCTGGGAAATCTTCCAGACTCTCTTCTTCTAAAATCCAATACAGGCTATAATTGTTGATTTTATAGGCTTAATGAAGGTCCAAATATGTAATATTGTGATAATTCCAGTAATTATTTAGAAACAGGCGTGCTAAAATACCCTAACACTGTAAAAAAGGGATTAGTTTACTTTAAAAAGTAAGTACACTTAGCATAATTGTAAAAACTGAGTCAACTTAACTGTTCCAAGTTGTAAAGGGTGAACTTTATTTTTGTAAAGTCAACTTGTTGCTTTTAAGGCAATTGGTTTACTCGCTTTAAGTAACTCATCACTTTTTACAGTGTATTTACCTTTAAAAAATTAAGTAAATTAAGTAAATATTTTCAGTGCACATTTTTATCATAATAAATAATAATATAAAATTTTATAATATATATTTACTTTATATATACTGTTACTCCTCATTTAAAATACATTACAATGCTTTGTTTCATGGCCAGGATTCACATTGTTCACATAATAAAATTTACACATAATATTCACACATAGGCGACGCAGTGATGCAGTAGGTAGTGCTGTTGCCTCACAGAGAGAAGGTCGCTGGGTCGCTGGTTCAAACTTCGGCTTAGCTCAGCCCAGTTGGTGTTTCTGTGTGGAGTTTGCATGTTCTCCCTGCATTCGCGTGGGTTTACTCCGGGTGCTCCGGTTTCCCCCACAGTCCAAACCCATGCAGTACAGGTGAATTGGGTAGGCTAAATTGTCCGTAGTATATGAGTGTGTGTGTGCGTGTTTCCCAGAAATGGGTTGTGGCTGGAAGGGCATCCGCTGCAAAAAAATGTGCTGGATAAGTTGGCGGTTCATTCCGCTGTGGAGACCCCAGATTAATAAAGGGACTAAGTCAAAAAGAAAATGAATGAATGAAAAATTCACACATAATACCAACATTCATTCATTTTTTTTTCAGCTTAGTCCCTTTATTAATCTGGGGTCGCCACAGGGGAATGAACTGCCAACACATGTTTTATGCAGAGGATGCCCTTCTAGCTTCAACCCATCCCTGGGAAACACCCATACACACTCAATCACACACACTACGGTCAATTTTAGCTTACCCAATTCACCTGTACCGCATGTCTTTGGACTGTGGGGGAAACCGGAGCACCCGGAGGAAACCCAAGCGAACGCAATGAGAACATGCAAACTCCACACAGAAACACCAACTGACCCAGCCGAGTCTCAAACCAGCAACCCTCTTGCTGTGAGGCGATCGCACTACCCACTGCGCCACCGCATCGCCCATAATACCAACATGTTTTTAAATTTTTTTTGCAATAATATTTTTATATTTATATATATATATAATGCAGATTTTTCAACACATTTCTAGACATAGTAATTTTCATAACTCATCTCTAATAACTGATTTATTTTCTCTTTGTCATGATGACAGTAAATAATATTAGACTAGATATTCTTCAAGACACTTCTATACAGCTTAAAGTGACATTTAAAGGCTTCACTAGGTTAATTAGGGTAACTAGGCAGGTTAGGGGAATTAGGCAAGTTATTGTATAATGATGGTTTGTTCTGTAGACAGTTGGAAAAAAATTGCTTAAAGGGTCTAATAATTTTGACCTTAAAATGGTTAATAAAAAATTAAAAACTGCTTTTATTCTAGCCAAAATAAAAAAAATAAGACTTTCTCCAGAAGAACAAATATTATCAGACATACCGTGAACATTTCCTGAATCTGTTCAACATCATTTGGGAAATATTTAAAAAGGAAAAAAAATTCAAAGCAAAGCGAATAATTCTGACTTCAACTGCATATATAACACATAAATTATTATAATTTAGAATAATATAAAACATTATAATATATAATATATATTTTCTGTCAATTTCCTCATTTAAAATTAATTACAAAACTTTTATTCAGGGTCGGATTCACATAATTTATTTAATCAAGTATAAATACCAACAGGTTTTATTTATATTTTTTTAGGAATAATAATAGATAACAATAATAATAAATAAACCACAAAATTTATTATAACACATAATAATATAAAACGTTATTATTTATAATATACAATTTTTGTTAAAATTCGTATTTAAAATGCATTACAACACTTCAGGGTCGGCTTCACATAATTACATAATATCATCATTTTTATGGGTCAAGCATAAACACCAACATGTTTTTTATTCTATATTTTTTAGGAATAATAAAAAATATATAAACAAACATTTTAAAAAACTACATTATTTATAATAATATATAATAATATAATACATTATAATAAGTAATATATATATATATATATATATATATATATATATATATATATATATATATATATATATAGTCAAATTCCTCATTTAAAATACATTACAGTACTTTGTACATATGATACGAGTCTTTATTTATTCATTCATTAATAAATTTTTCATTAATTAATTGTAAGTATAATTTGTCTGGTTTATTTATTCAGGAAATTAACGGAAAATATATTTACATCATTTATTTTTAGGGTGTCACGGTGCCGCAGTGGGTAGAACAATCGCCTCACAGCAAGAAGGTCACTGGTTTGCGCCTCGGCTGGGTCAGTTGGTGTTTCTGTGTGGAGTTTGCATGTTCTCCCCATGTTTGTGTGGGTTTTTTCCGGGTGCTCTAGTTTCCTCCACAGACCAAACACATCTGGTATAGGTGAATTGGGAAAGCTAAAATTTTCCACAGTGTTTCCCAGTGACCCATCACTTGGCTTGAAAAGCATCCGCTGCGTAAAAACGTGCTGGATAAGTTGGTGGTTCATTCCGCTGTGGTGACACCAGACTACTAAAGGGACTAAGCCGAAAAGAAAATGAATGAAGGAATGAATAATTATTATTAGGGCATCACGGTTTCGCAGTAGGTAGAACAATTGTCTCACAGCAAGAAGGTCGCTGGTTCGAGTCCCGGCTGGGTCATTTGGCAATTCTGTGTGGAGTTTGCATGTTCTCCCCATGTTTGTGTGGGTTTTTCCCGGGTGCTCTGGTTTCCCTCACAGACCAAACACATCTGGTATAGGTGAATTGGGAAAGCTAAAATTGTCCACAGTGTATGTATGTGAATGCAAGAGTGTATGGGTGTTTCCCAGTGATGGGTTGCAGCTGGAGGGGCATCCCCAGTGTAAAACATATGCTAGACAAGTTGGCGGTTCATATATATATATATATATATATATTAATTAATTTTTTTCTGCTTAGTCTCTTTATTAATCTGCGGTCGCCACAGTGGAATGAACCGCCAACTTATCCAGCACATGTTTTACACAGTGGATGCCCTTCCAGCCGCAACTCATCACTGGAAAAAAAAAAAAATTATATATTATTTGTTTTTCCTACTATGGAAGTCAATGGTAACAGGTTTTCAGCATTCTTCAAAACATCTTCTTTTGTGTTCAACAAAGAATAAATGATTGAGAACGGTTTGAGAGAGAGAGAGTACATTTTAATATGTGAGTGAACTAATCCTTTAACCTTTAATTAATTGTACATTAATAAAAGATTCAGTTCACTGCGAGGTAAAGCCTATATGTGTTGTATATCATTGCATTGTATTGCATGGCATGATGTAATCGCAATCCCTGAATGACTCATGTATATATATTTATATGTCTGACACTGTAAAGCATTCGGAAAGCACCCGAGGTAACTGTAGTTTAGGGTTGGTCAAACTCACCACTCTTCTGCCAGTTCTGTCGTTATCAGTCAATCAGTATAAAATAATATAAGTTCAATATATGGCATTTCCAAATACTGATGTGTAAGTCATTATGAAATATCAGCTGGAGCTCGTGATTGGCTGGAGGAGAGCGACTCCTCGCCGGTGGGGTGAGCCGGTGAACTATAAAAGCACCGGGCCGGTATTGCTCGGTCATACGGATGCTGGAGAGTGAATAAATAAAGGCGAACATCAGATGAACACCAGCCAATCGGAGAGATCACTGTAAACGCTTCGTCCAATCAGAGCGCGTTATTCCTGGCATTCGCGACATCACCATCACTGAGAGACGCAGCTGAGTTTTATACTGTGTTCGGAAACTGCGCTTCCTCAGACGACTTAACTTGAGCGGGTCCACGTGTTTAGAGCAGTTTGGTGAGTGTTCACTAATTTTAAACGCATCTGTTGCTGTGAGCAGGTTTAATTTGCTGCCTGAATGCTTCTGATTCTGCTGTGTTCGCTGTTTTAGAGCATGCACTGAACACTGGGATGACAGAACTTAGTGTTTGTAGTTATTATTATGATATGTGAGCATGTGTTTGTTGTTATCATGTTCGAGTTTGCATTGATCTCTAAAATGACACAAGTGTATGTTTTGTAGTGATCAATTTGAGCATGCACTGAAAACTAAAATGACAGAAGGTTGTGTTTATGTTTTGTGGTGATCGTATTTTCATGTTTGAGCATGCATTACCAACGAATGACTAAAGTATGCGTTTCGAAATTATTATTAATATCATTTTTGGGCATGCAGTTAACGCTATAATAAAATAAGTGTGTGTTTAGTGATCATTTTTGAGCATGCACTAAACTCTAGTATAAAGAAGTGTTTGTTTAGATGGCATAATTAATAATTATGAGCATGCACTGAGGACTAAAATAAACAAGTATTTGTAATGATCATTATCATCAGTTTTGAGCATGCACTGGAATGAAATGAGTGTGTTTACTGAAAAATTAAGCATTAGAACTAAATAAGTGTGTTTAGTGATCATCATTGTGAGTTTTGAGTATGCTAGAATAAATAAGTGTGTTTAGTGATCATCATTGTGAGTTTGAGTATGCTAGAACTAAATAAGTGTGTTTAGTGATCATCATTGTGAGTTTTGAGTATGCTAGAACTAAATAAGTGTGTTTAGTGATCATCATTGTGAGTTTTGAGTATGCTAGAACTAAATAAGTGTGTTTAGTGATCATCATTGTGAGTTTGAGTATGTTAAAATAAATAAGTGTGTTTAGTGATCATCATTGTGAGTTTGAGTATGCTAGAACTAAATAAGTGTGTTTAGTGATCATCATTGTGAGTTTTGAGTATGCTAGAACTAAATAAGTGTGTTTAGTGATCATCATTGTGAGTTTTGAGTATGCTAGAATTAAATAAGTGTGTTTAGTGATCATCATTGTGAGTTTTGAGTATGCTAGAATTAAATAAGTGTGTTTAGTTATCATCATTGTGAGTTTTGAGTATGCTAGAACTAAATAAGTGTGTTTAGTGATCATCATTGTGAGTTTGAGTATGCTAGAACTAAATAAGTGTGTTTAGTGATCATCATTGTGAGTTTTGAGTATGCTAGAATTAAATAAGTGTGTTTAGTGATCATCATTGTGAGTTTTGAGTATGCTAGAATTAAATGTGTTTAGTGATCATCATTGTGAGTTTGAGTATGCTAGAACTAAATAAGTGTGTTTAGTGATCATCATTGTGAGTTTTGAGTATGCTAGAACTAAATAAGTGTGTTTAGTGATCATCATTGTGAGTTTTGAGTATGCTAGAATTAAATAAGTGTGTTTAGTGATCATCATTGTGAGTTTTGAGTATGCTAGAACTAAATAAGTGTGTTTAGTGATCATCATTGTAAGTTTTGAGTATGCTAGAATTAAATAAGTGTGTTTAGTGATCATCATTGTGAGTTTGAGTATGCTAGAACTAAATAAGTGTGTTTAGTGATCATCATTGTGAGTTTGAGTATGCTAGAATTAAATAAGTGTGTTTAGTGATCATCATTGTGAGTTTGAGTATGCTAGAATTAAATAAGTGTGTTTAGTGATCATCATTGTGAGTTTGAGTATGCTAGAATTAAATAAGTGTGTTTAGTGATCATCATTGTGAGTTTTGAGTATGCTAGAATTAAATAAGTGTGTTTAGTGATCATCATTGTGAGTTTGAGTATGCTAGAATTAAATAAGTGTGTTTAGTGATCATCATTGTGAGTTTTGAGTATGCTAGAACTAAATAAGTGTGTTTAGTGATCATCATTGTGAGTTTTGAGTATGCTAGAACTAAATAAGTGTGTTTAGTGATCATCATTGTGAGTTTTGAGTATGCTAGAACTAAATAAGTGTGTTTAGTGATCATCATTGTGAGTTTGAGTATGCTAGAATTAAATAAGTGTGTTTAGTGATCATCATTGTGAGTTTGAGTATGCTAGAACTAAATAAGTGTGTTTAGTGATCATCATTGTGAGTTTGAGTATGCTAGAATTAAATAAGTGTGTTTAGTGATCATCATTGTGAGTTTGAGTATGCTAGAATTAAATAAGTGTGTTTAGTGATCATCATTGTGAGTTTGAGTATGCTAGAATTAAATAAGTGTGTTTAGTGATCATCATTGTGAGTTTTGAGTATGCTAGAACTAAATAAGTGTGTTTAGTGATCATCATTGTGAGTTTTGAGTATGCTAGAATTAAATAAGTGTGTTTAGTGATCATCATTGTGAGTTTTGAGTATGCTAGAATTAAATAAGTGTGTTTAGTGATCATCATTGTGAGTTTGAGTATGCTAGAATTAAATAAGTGTGTTTAGTGATCATCATTGTGAGTTTGAGTATGCTAGAACTAAATAAGTGTGTTTAGTGATCATCATTGTGAGTTTTGAGTATGCTAGAATTAAATAAGTGTGTTTAGTGATCATCATTGTGAGTTTTGAGTATGCTAGAACTAAATAAGTGTGTTTAGTGATCATCATTGTGAGTTTTGAGTATGCTAGAATTAAATAAGTGTGTTTAGTGATCATCATTGTGAGTTTTGAGTATGCTAGAATTAAATAAGTGTGTTTAGTGATCATCATTGTGAGTTTTGAGTATGCTAGAACTAAATAAGTGTGTTTAGTGATCATCATTGTTAGTTTGCGTATGCTAGAACTAAATAAGTGTGTTTAGTGATCATCATTGTGAGTTTTGAGTATGCTAGAACTAAATAAGTGTGTTTAGTGATCATCATTGTGAGTTTGAGTATGCTAGAATTAAATAAGTGTGTTTAGTGATCATCATTGTGAGTTTGAGTATGCTAGAATTAAATAAGTGTGTTTAGTGATCATCATTGTGAGTTTGAGTATGCTAGAATTAAATAAGTGTGTTTAGTGATCATCATTGTTAGTTTGAGTATGCTAGAATTAAATAAGTGTGTTTAGTGATCATCATTGTGAGTTTTGAGTATGCTAGAACTAAATAAGTGTGTTTAGTGATCATCATTGTGAGTTTGAGTATGCTAGAACTAAATAAGTGTGTTTAGTGATCATCATTGTGAGTTTTGAGTATGCTAGAACTAAATAAGTGTGTTTAGTGTTCATCATTGTGAGTTTGAGTACGCTAGAATTAAATAAGTGTGTTTAGTGATCAGAACTAAAGTGTGTTTAGTGATCATGATTGTGAGTTTGAGTATGCTAGAATTAAATAAGTGTGTTTAGTGATCATCATTGTGAGTTTTGAGTATGCTAGAATTAAATAAGTGTGTTTAGTGATCATCATTGTGAGTTTTGAGTATGCTAGAACTAAATAAGTGTGTTTAGTGATCATCATTGTGAGTTTGAGTATGCTAGAATTAAATAAGTGTGTTTAGTGATCATCATTGTGAGTTTGAGTATGCTAGAATTAAATAAGTGTGTTTAGTGATCATCATTGTGAGTTTGAGTATGCTAGAATTAAATAAGTGTGTTTAGTGATCATCATTGTTAGTTTGAGTATGCTAGAATTAAATAAGTGTGTTTAGTGATCATCATTGTGAGTTTGAGTATGCTAGAATTAAATAAGTGTGTTTAGTGATCATCATTGTGAGTTTGAGTATGCTAGAACTAAAGTGTGTTTAGTGATCATGATTGTGAGTTTTGAGTATGCTAGAATTAAATAAGTGTGTTTAGTGATCATCATTGTGAGTTTGAGTATGCTAGAACTAAATAAGTGTGTTTAGTGATCATCATTGTGAGTTTGAGTATGCTAGAATTAAATAAGTGTGTTTAGTGATCATCATTGTGAGTTTGAGTATGCTAGAATTAAATAAGTGTGTTTAGTGATCATCATTGTTAGTTTGAGTATGCTAGAATTAAATAAGTGTGTTTAGTGATCATCATTGTGAGTTTGAGTATGCTAGAATTAAATAAGTGTGTTTAGTGATCATCATTGTGAGTTTGAGTATGCTAGAACTAAAGTGTGTTTAGTGATCATGATTGTGAGTTTTGAGTATGCTAGAATTAAATAAGTGTGTTTAGTGATCATCATTGTGAGTTTGAGTATGCTAGAATTAAATAAGTGTGTTTAGTGATCATCATTGTTAGTTTGAGTATGCTAGAATTAAATAAGTGTGTTTAGTGATCATCATTGTGAGTTTTGAGTATGCTAGAACTAAAGTGTGTTTAGTGATCATGATTGTGAGTTTGAGTATGCTAGAACTAAATAAGTGTTTAGTGATCATCATTGTGAGTTTGAGTATGCTAGAACTAAATAAGTGTGTTTAGTGATCATCATTGTTAGTTTGAGTATGCTAGAACTAAAGTGTGTTTAGTGATCATCATTGTGAGTTTTGAGTATGCTAGAATTAAATAAGTGTGTTTAGTGATCATCATTGTGAGTTTTGAGTATGCTAGAATTAAATAAGTGTGTTTAGTGATCATCATTGTGAGTTTTGAGTATGCAGTGAACACCAGAATCAATTAAATAAGTCTGTTTAGTGAACATTGTTAAGTATGCATTGGACCATAGAATGAAATAAGTGTGCGTTTAGAGTGAATCATTATTTTTGAGCATGCACTGAACACTGGAATAAAATAAGTGTGTTTAGTGATCATCATCATCCCATTTGAGCATGCACTGAACACTAGAATGACAGAAATGTGTGTGTTTATGTTGGCAGATATATCATCATCATGCCTGATTCTGATGTGAAAGCTCCAGTCTTGCAGCCCCAGCTGGAGGCAATGGAGGATGAGTTTGACCCCTTATATAAAGAGAAACCAGGCCCCAAGCCTCCTATGAAAATAGTGTGGCGAAATGTCATTCTGATGAGTCTTCTGCACATTGCTGCGGTGTATGGCCTCTTCCTGATCCCGTCTGCACACCCGCTCACACTCCTCTGGGGTGAGTATCAGACACTCACACTCAATATTACTTTAAAGAGACAGTTCACACTAAAATCAACATGTCCTCTCCCTCATGTGGCTCTGACAACTTATGAGTTTCTTTTTTTTCATTGAACAACAAAAGAAGATGTTTTGAAAAATGTTGTAACCATTGACCTTCACAGTAGGAAAAAACTATATCAGTGTGTACAGTATATACAGGAATTCGACACTATTTAAGAGCTTTTTTAACACTCTTTCCATACATATTAAGACCTCATCGCCACTTAAGCTTTCAACTGGTAACATCGGCCACATTTTAACTTGAATTTTGATTGTAAGAAACTAATCCTAAACTAGAACATTATTAATATACTGAATATAACTGCGGGTGACACGGTGGCTCAGTGGTTAGCACTGTTGCCTCACAGCAAGAAGGTCGCTGGTTTAAGGCTGGGTCAGTTGGTGTTTCTGTGTGGAGTTTGCATGTTCTCCCCGTGTTGGCATGGGTTTCCTCCGGGTGCTCCGGTTTCCCCCACAGTCCAAACACATGCGCTGTAGGGGACTTGATTAACTGAATTGACTGTAGTAAATGTGTGTGAGTGAATGTGCATGGGTGTTTCCTAGTACTGGGTAGCAGCTTTAAGGGCATCCGCTGTGTAAAACATATGCTGGATAAGTTGGCGGTTCATTCCGCTGTGCCGACCCCTAATGAATAAAGGGATTAAGCTGAAGGAAGCTGAATGAAATGCTAATCCAGCAGAGGGCGCATATAGAACAGCAGGAAAAACGATGTTGCCTTGGTTAATGCAGTAAACAAAGCAGCATGACGTCAAATCTTGCAGGATTTTATCGATTTCATCATCTACACAGCATGCCAACATTCACAGTAAATTCAGGCGAGTGTAATAAATAACTGCACTGCATAATCAAAAATAATGCATCATTTAATACCATGGGCAAGGCAGTGGCGCAGTAGGTAGTGCTGTCGCCTCACAGCAAGAAGGTCGCTGGGTCACTGGTTTGAACCTCGCCTCAGTTGGTGTTTCTGTGTGGAGTTTGCATGTTCTCCCAAAGACATGCAGTACAGGGGAATTGGGTAGGCTAAATTGTCCCTAGTGTGTGAATGTGTGTGTGGATGTTTCCCAGAGATGGGTTGCAGATGGAAGGGAATCATAAAAACTTGCTGGATAAGTTGGCGGTTCATTCCGCTGTGGCGACCCCGGATTAATAAAGCGACTAAGCCGACAAGAAAATGAATGAATGAATTTAATACCATGTAAAATAGCATTTAAGAATATATTTAAGGGGCTTAAATTTCTCTAAATTGATCGATCAACTTTAATAGTGCTTTTTAAACACCCGCAGACACCCTGTATATACTTTTTAAAATAATTTGAATGAGTAATATGCAATATTACATGCCATTACAGGGATCAGTGTTGCCAGATTGGGCGGTTTTCCACCTAATTGTTCTGTTTGGAATTTGTTTTTGCGGGTAAATAATGACATGGGCGGGTAGTGAAAATTTGGGCGGGTTTGCAACAGCGTGCCCCAGTCTTCACTTATAAACCTGTTATGATCTCCTAAAGGAGATGCCATAGCCCCGTTCCTCTCATACAAATGCTTACAACAGTTGTGATCTCCCAACGAGACACACCACATCTCCACATCTCTCCCCCCTGCTCCTCAGCTTCTCAACATAGTCTACTATATAGTCTGCTGATTGTTGGGTGGTGCTTTTTATGTTTTATGCAGGGTTTGGATAGTTTTTGGGCCGGAATCAGTCCGCTGCATCTAGCAACACTGACAGGGATGCCGACAGAAAAGTTCCCATCTTTGTTTCCCATTTTCTTAATGTTTTATATTTAGAAATTTTTAAATTAAACTACACATTAGATTTTTTTCCTGAAGTTCTAAATAAAGACAGAAATGTGATCACATATAAGTATATCAGTACTCCTTTACATGTGCTCAATATATACAAAATACTAGGTGATTTGAATTTGCAGAAATGGTACAGTGGTGGCACGGTGGCTCAGTGGTTAGCACTGTAGCCTCATAGCAAGAAGGTCGCTGGTTTGAGTCCCGGCTAGGCCAGTTGACATACCTGTGGAGTTTGCATGTTCTCCCTATGTTGGCATGGGTTTCCTCCGGGTGCTCCAGTTTCCCTCACAGTACAAACACATGCGTTATAGGAGAATTGATTAACTAAATTGGCTGTAGTGTACGAGTGTGTGTGTGAATGAGTGTGTATGGGTGTTTCCCAGTATTGGGTTGCAGCTGGAAGGGCATTTGCAGCGTAAAACATATGCTGGAATGGTTGCTGGTTCATTCCACTGTGGCGACCCCTGATGAATAAGGGACTAAGCTGAAGGAAAATGAATGAAATGCTGCAATATGGTGATGTATATCATGATCATCATATGAGATGACGACATATTTACAGCATGATTGTTGTTTCTTTGATGCTATGAAATGTATTTATCACTTTTTATTTGAATGCACTTGAATATACCTTTATTGTGGACTGACTTTCTGGCTCTATTAATTAATTGCACTGTGCTTTTGTGAGCCATGATTTTTTTTTTTTTCAAAAGACAGGCTTGTGAGCTCATCTTCACCACAATATACTACAATATTTCATGACAAATGTGTTGTGGAAGGTGTGTGCACAGCTGAATGCACTAATGTGTTTAAGTGATTGTGATTTAAAGTGTGATTGAAATGGTTTTGTTTTGTGACTCAAAGTAAATCTATTATTTTATAACATAACATAATGAATGTCTTTATTTTTGTGTGCAGCTTTTGCGTGTTTCGTGTATGGTGGTCTGGGCATCACTGCAGGCGTTCACAGATTGTGGAGTCACAGATCATATAAAGCCACTTTACCTCTGCGCATCTTTCTGGCCATCGGAAACTCCATGGCCTTCCAGGTAATCAACAATAATCCGAGAAATACTGTCGAGAAGCATCTCAGGTTGATTACAGCACAATCCACTCGCTATCTGCAACACACAGTTTGATTTGTGTCGGACATATGCTGATACTCAATAATAACGCAGTTTACCAAGATAATGAACATGTGTCATATAGTGCTGCTCAAAAAATGAATCCTGATTAAATGCATCCAAAATAAAAGTTTATTATGTACAAAAAAATAAAAACAGAACCACAAAAGACATTTAAATGCATATTTAATTTATATTATGTATAGATTATATCTAAATATAAATTTCTCTAATATATGCATGCATGCGAGTATTTATAAATGCATAATATACAAAACACACATGCATTATGTCAATACAAACTTTTATTTTGAATACTGTTAATCGTCTGTGTGTGTGTATATATATATATATATATATATATATATATGATACAAATAAAATATGCATTTGAATGTCTGCAAAAAAAGTTCTGTACAGGTTTGTTTTTATGTATGTGCATAATATAATACATTTATGCATAATACATATACATAAACACACATGCATATATACATATTAGGGGCTGAGAAATGTCAAAGATGTAATCTAATTTCTCTGCCCCTAGTGGCGGTAAATACAATTGCACTCTTTATTTTCTTCTCTTGTAGAATGACATCTATGAATGGTCCCGGGATCACCGCGTGCATCACAAGTACTCCGAGACGGACGCCGACCCTCACAACTCAAACCGGGGCTTTTTCTTTTCTCACGTTGGCTGGCTGCTGGTTCGAAAACACCCGGAAGTCATCGAGAGAGGACGCAAACTAGAGCTCACTGACCTGAAGGCCGATAAGGTGGTCATGTTTCAGAGGAGGTGAGTCTCGTTATACAAACTGTGCTGTAAGTTATTTGGCTGATTCTCGAACAATTTGCATCTCATTTGCATAAAACTTGTTATGGCTGTGCGATATTGGAAAAATCTGACATTGCGGTATGAGTTTAATTTCAACAGATGATTTGAATAGGTCTATTTGGAAAGACTTCATTAATTTAGATTAACTGGGATCATCAAGTTTTTTTTCAATGCAGTGCATCTGCATAAATTATAATAAATTATAAGCAGAAATAAATAAACAAACAGTGCTTTATGGTTTTCTGGGAAGTCTAACAGTATTCATGTACAGAAATTGAACAATCAAATGTAAAATAACATGGACATTGATCTATAAATAATAAAAAAATAAGCATATTTAATAATGTCTTGACTTAATAATATAATCCTGTGATGTGACTATTGCAGATGCACACAATGCATTATTAATGCTGTAACGATATATCATTCAGCCCTAAACCAAAAGCATTATATCAAGTTACATCTTAAAAGTTATATCTTAAAAAATAATGTTTGTTTGTGTATTTAGATGCAATTTGTCTTAAAAATATCAACTTAAAGACTCTCACTACCCTATTTTTGACAGCCTCCACCTCCTGAATAATACATTTAGCTTAAATTAGCATCAAATAAGTCTAATTTTCATATTTTTTACTCTACTAAATTAAATTAAAATTTCTATTTTCTTTATTATTAGTAATTTTAGTAAACAAAACACATTTGGGTGTCATAAAAAAAACCTGTGCTGTTAGTTATATTACTGATTCTAAAATATTTAGGGTACATTTTGCATCTTATTTGCATAAACCTTGTTGTATTTTTATTTTTTTATATTGTATTTTTGTTGTATTTTTAATGAACAATTTTGACAGTAATGACACACGTTATATCTAAAATAATGTTTGTATGTGTGTTTAGGTGCATTTGGTCTTGAAAATATGAACTTAAACACTCCCACTATAGATATTTTTGACAGTCTCCGCCTCCTAAATCATACATTCAGCTTCAATTAGCATCAAATAAGTCTAATTATCATGTTTTTACTCCACTAAATTAAATTAATACTTCTATTTTCTATATTTTTTGTAATTTCAGTAGTGAAACATACATTTTGCGTCTGTCATCAAACAAACAGTGCTGTTAGTTATATGGCTGATTCTAGAACATTTAGGGTATATTTTGCATCTCATTTGCATAACCCCTGTAGTATTTTTCAAAAGCAAAAACTTTTAGTGTACAATTTTGACAATAATAACACGCATTAAATCAAAATATATCTAAGCATAATGTTTGTATGTGTATTTAGGTGCATTTGGTCTCTGAAAATATGAACTTAAACACTCCCACTATAGATATTTTTGACAGTCTCCGCCTCCTGAATCATATATTCAGCTTCAATTAGCATTAAATAATTAGGTCTAATTTTCATATTGTTTTACTCTACTAAGTTAAACATTTCTATTTTCAATATTATTATTAATATCAGTAATAAAACATACATTTGGTGTCTGTAAACAAACTAAATGTGCTGTTATATAGCTGATTTTAGAATATTTAGGGTACATTTTATTTGCATCTCATTTGCATGATCCTTGTAGTATTTTTTAAAAGCAAAAACTATAAAGGAACAATTTTGAAAATAGTGACATGCATTATATTAAGTTATATCTAAAAAATAATGTTTGTATGTGTATTAAGGTGCATTTTGTCTTGGAAACACAAACTTAAAGAAAATATGAACTTAAGGATGCCCACTATAGCTGTTTTTGACAATCTCTGCCTGCCTGAATTATATTTAATTAAACTAATTAATTTTTTTGTGTGTGTTTTACTTTACTAAGTTAAACATTTGCATGAAACATCTATTTTTTTGTATTATTTGTTATTCCAGTGATGAAAAATACACATTTTAGTGACTTTTATTGACATTTTAGTCGTTTGAATTAATATATAGAGAAATAAGTGTGTATAATAACAGGAAATGTGCTGCAGTTTATTACAAGGGTTTTGTAGCATAATATACACCACCAAGCCAGACAATATAGCATGCAGACTACTAAAAATGTTCAGAAAAGTCACTTTTTTTAACTATTCAATGTTAAAAGATCTCATAATGCAATTTAAAAACCTAAATAGATGTGAAAAAATAAAAACGTCAGTCACAAGTTATGCAAAACCATTAATTTATGAATGTTCTTTAGTGTAGTTGTAACTCGGACTATGATTGAACAGTGTCTGATTTACTCCACAGATTCTACAAGCTGTCTGTGGTGTTGATGTGCTTCGTTGTCCCCACGGTTGTGCCCTGCTACATGTGGGGCGAGTCTCTCTGGATCGCGTATTTCATCCCGACGCTCCTCAGATACGCACTAGGCTTAAACTCTACCTGGCTGGTCAACAGCGCTGCACACATGTGGGGAAATCGGCCCTATGATGGAAACATCGGCCCCAGGGAGAACCGATTCGTCACCTTCAGTGCTATAGGTATGTCTGATGAACAAACATTCAACACATTTCTAATCATAATAGTTTTACATTTACATTTAGTCATTTAGCAGACGCTTTTATCCAAAAAGACTAACAAATGAGGACAAGGAAGCAATTTACACAACTATAAGAGCAACAATGAGTAAGTGCTGTAGGCAAGTTTCAGGTGTGTGAAGTGTAAGAAGCAAAACATTAGTAATTTATTATGTATTTATTTATGTAGTGCAGTTAGCAGTGGAGTCAGAGAGGCAATTGCAGATTAGGAAGTGAAGTGGAGACTAAATCGTTGAGTTTTTAAGTCGTATCTTGAAGACAGCGAGTGACTCTGCCGTTCTGATGCAGTTAGGGAGTTCATTCCACCAACTGGGCAGATTGAATGCGAGAGTTCGGGAAAGTGATTTCTTCCCTCTTTGGGATGAACCACGAGGCGACGTTCATTCACAGAACGCAAGTTTCTGGAGGACACATACATCTGCAGAAGTGAGAGCAGATAAGAAGGAGCAAAGCCAGAAGTCGCTTTGTAAGCAAACATCAAAGCTTTGAATTTGATGCGAGCAGCAACTGGCAGCCAGTGCAAACGGATGAGCAGCGGAGTGACATGTGCTCTTTTAGCTTCATTAAAGACCACTTGTGCTGCTGCGTTCTGGAACAGCTGTAGAGGATTGATAGAGTTAGCTGGAAGCCCGGCTAGTAGAGAGTTGCAATAGTCCAGTCTGGAGAGAACAAGAGCTTGAACAGAGTTGAGCTGCATGTTCAGATAGGAAGGGTCGGACCTTTCTGATGTTATAGACACTAGTATTCAGCTTAAAGTGACATGTAAAGGCTTCACTAGGGTAATTAGGGTAAAGTTAGGGTAATTAGGCAAGTCATTGTATAACAGTGGTTTGTTCTGGAGACAATCCAACACTAATATTGCTGAAGGAAGCTAATAATATTGACCTTAAAATGGCGTTAAAACAATTAAAAACTGCTTTTATTCTAGCCAAATAAAACGAACAAGACTTTCTCCAGGAGAACAAACATTAGAGGAAATACTGTGAACAATTCCTTGCTCTGCTAAACAGTACTTGGAAAATAATTGAAAAAATTACACTTCAACTTCATGTTCAGGGTTTAACGCTAAGGATTTTTTTCTAATGGCCCGATCGGACTAGTGGTTCAGATTTTTACTTGCCCTGCCAATATTGTCACTGGCCCCACCAAAAAAAGTTAATAGCCATTTCTAAGCCACAAATAAATAAAAAATGTCAAAATGTTTGTAAATCTAGAATTTAAATATTTGCAAATTGTTAATAAAGTGTTTTGCAAACAAAAGTAGCAAAATGTGCAGGTATTTTTTTGCAAAACCAAAAGATGACTGACCTGCCAAACTAACGGCAAACTGTACAAAACATCACCACCTTTTTTTAGTCGTGGTGTACCCTCGTAAATGTCTGCTTCCAAGACGCTACAGACAAATGTTTTCCTTTAGCATCATTACTTGATGTTGCCGCCATGTTGCTGTCTCTTAGCTGTACTGATTGTTACGGAAAAAAAATAACATGCTCACAACATCCAATCAGATAAGAGGAACCGAGAAGGTAGCATTTGAAGGCTTAAAAACACAAACGGTTTCTCTATTCTGACTGTATTTGCACACAATTGACAAATAGTCACAGGCAAATTAAACTTTAGTGACTGGGCATTAGTGGCCCTATCGGGCCAGTAACGATCCTGTCTACTGTCCCGAGCATCTCACACGCTGGCCCCGAGCCATCGGGCAGTCCTTATTGTTGATCCCTGATGTTCAATTATACATTATACATTATACTTATATTCAATAATACATAATTCTATCACTTTTAGAATACATTTGATTAAAATAATAAGTACATATACAAATAATAAATGTCCATTATTATATATTTAGACGCCTCAGCACTAATGCTTTTATTTTGCATTGTCTCTCAGGTGAAGGCTACCACAATTACCACCACACGTTTCCCTACGACTACTCCACCAGCGAGTACGGATGGAAGCTCAATCTCACCACCATCTTCGTGGACACCATGTGCTTCTTGGGTCTGGCCAGTAATCGTAAGCGTGTGTCTAAAGAGCTGATTCTGGCTCGGGTGAAGCGTACAGGCGACGGCAGCTACAGAAGCGGCTAAAAAAAAACATCCTCCATCTCAAAAGAAAACGGATGTCCAGCCCAAAAAACCGAAGGCCGGTCAAGGCGCTCTTCAATCTCCTGCTACCATTAAATCTACCATTATTATTATTATTATTCTCATTTTCTCCTCATCCCCAGGGGAGAGGGAGCTTTAATACAGGGATCTGAGCTGTTTGTGTAGCGCTTATTCACACTGTGTTTCCGGCTTCCTCTTCTCAGATATTCGGGACGCCCCGCTCTGAGCTCTTATTGCTGACGTGCTCGTTTTTCTCAATGCAGGAGCTAAACGTGGCGCCCCGTCACCCGCCCGCCGGGGCCTTTTTTTGTGTGACGAGCCCGTGCCAAATCTAGATCGGTGCAGTTTGGTAGAAATTCACGAAGAGGTTTAATACTTAATTTAATATTTAACAGCTGCACCTTATTGTCAGTGCTTTGTGTTGCGTTATATATTCTGTTCTGTTGCCATACTTGCACAAATTGTTCATTTGTTTTGTAGGAATGACGTTTGAATGGTTGGAATCTGTATTAGGGGATAGCTCACCCCAAAAAATGAACATTTATTCAGCCTTAAGGTGTTTTTTCTTATGTTAAACACACAAAAAAACAAGACTTTCAATTGACTTCCATAGTAAGAACAACAAATACAATGCAAGTCAATGGTTACCGGTTTACAGCATTCTTCAAAATATCTTCTTTTGTGTTCAACTGAATAGAAGAAACTCAGAGGATTGAAACTAACTTAAGGAAGACTAAATAATGACAGAATTAGCGTTTTTTGGGTGAATTATCCATTATTATAAGTTGATTATAGCACAGATTTGACTTGCAGCCGTGAAACGGCTTCAAATATTTTTGATAGAGAGATCTTCTTAAAGGGACAGTACACACGAAAATGACATCTCTGCCATTTATTTACTCTTGTTCCAAAGCTTTCTTCTGTTGAACACGATTGAACATCTACTAAACATTAAAGACAGCCATTGACATGATTATTATTATTTGGTATCTACTGATGTTAATTTCCAACATTCTTCAGACTATCTTCTTTTGTGTTCAACCGAAGGAAGTCATTTTTCATTTTTGGGTGAACTGCCCCTTTAAGGTTTAATCTGTAAACACACACACACGCCTACAGAGTGATGCTATCTATAATTTCATGTTAACACATTGATAATTATAGAGATTTCAGAATAATCTGGATGTTTGTGACTGGATCGAATGGTAGAGTTTGCATGAGAATGTTGATTCTTGACTATTTTGTACTGTAAATTGTGTTGTCATTAACTGTACACGATCATCTTACTTTTGAGTTCAGATTTTCCGGTCTGACCTTCAGTTTGTAGAGTACGCTGTATTAATACAGAGCTCTGTGAACAGATTTACAATAATTATCTAATAATTTTAGCTCAGATATTATGAGGATCATGTGTTTGTGTGATGCCAAATACAGTTGTGTTGCATGTGAGCCGAATTGTAGCTTTATGTTTAATCAAACATATTTTCAGAGATGCTATTTTTCCATATTTGGTTTCATTCGTCGAGTTGTTTGTCATGAAATTGCTTTTGTAATTCCTCACAGACTTCATATTGAGTGTGTGTGTGTGTGTGTGTGTGTGTGTGTGTGTCTCAACCACGACTGTTTCTCTCACACACTGCCTTATTTGTGCTCTGAGACTTGTGACTTGAGATGCCAAAAAGTTTTGAGAGATCTCGTGCGATTTGGAAGAAGCCTCTGGCTCCTAAAACTAATGTGACGCTCCTGTTTGTAATACACCAGCCTGTAATTATGAATAGACCAAGGTTTCATAATCAATTACTGGAAATAAAGCCTCAAGCAAAGAGCTTCTACACCTGTCTGAGTACTGCACTTCATTTCTGATCATCCTGCCAAGCTTTAAAAGGATCATTTCAGCAGATTGTGTTAAACACCATTCCTGCAATATGCTCAGGTCAGATTTCACTTGACTATTAAATGATGTACATGATTAAAAGCAAGTAAATTACCCAGACTGAAATAACGAGCTACATCGGGGATTCTTAATCATTAAGAGCAAGATAATCTAGAAAAATATCACATGTTTACTCTTACTTACTCCCATAGCTGATATTTAGCCGCACCGTGTTGGTGTTTCATAACCTGGAGGATACACACATACACTATGGATAATTTAGCTTACCCAATTCCCCTATAGACCAATTACCATGTTTGTAAACATTCAGGATGCGCGCGGGGAGGGGGCAGAAAGCAACTGGAAGCGCTAGCATTTACAGCGAGGGAATGACATCAGATGCGGTGCAGAGTTTGTTGTTGTCTTAGAAATAAGATATATTGATTGCACATTATATATATTATTGACATAATGCTTTCAGTGTATTATAACAGCTCGTCAGCCAGTGATAAGCACAGTGATTCAGCAAAATTAACGTTAAAGGTTCAGGACACCCTGGAGAACTTTTTTTTTATATTAACAGATGTGTGTGTGTTGAGCATCAGTTAAGACAATGTTAGCACCTGTCAGCTCTAATTGTGGGGAAACTGGATAATGTTGAGCTTTTGTCAGCTCATTTCAGCTTCCGGGTTTAAAATGATTTTTGGGGCGGGATTAAAATCGGCGACGTAGCGCAGAACTGCAAGTGCAATGATGACGCGTCGGTTTCTCATTATTATTCATAGCGGAGTTTTCTTATCCTATGAGAAGAGCAGGCTGCTTAATTATTCATCAGACCTGCCAGACCTGCCAGTGTCAAGCCCGAGCTGAGAGACACGGAAACCACGGCACAGTATTCAGCCGTTCATATGCGTTTGTTTCCATTATCCACGGGGTTTGTTGCATGTTTTCCCCCGCGATCTTGTCAGGGCCGATCATACAGCAAAGCTGTGTGTGTGCTGCTAGCATTTTTGTCGGGAGAGCAGCACGAGAATTAGAGAATGGCGGACGCTGTCTTTTATCAGGAGTTCATTCACATTCAGACACATCACCGTGCTGCTGTGTTTGCCTAAATCCTCCAGATTACCAGCAGGGCTAATGGTTAAAATAGACGGGTCAGGAGACCTGCTGCACTGAGTCTGCTGGATACAGGGATTGAGGGAGAAGTCCTCATTTATAGTGTTTACATGAACACACTTATCTTTATAATGATATAAATTGTGGTTGTCTGTATATGAAATTACGAATAACAAATGTAGCAGGGCATTAAATCACTGTTCATTTCTTTGCATTTTAACTTTGTAAACTATAAACTCATGCGTCTCCTCATGGTTTGTCTCATTTTCTGAGCTGACTGACTACAACGGTTGTTCGCTCACGTTCTCCCCTGCTGGCCACGCCCACTCCTGCCCGATGCTCGCGGAGCTCCGCCCATTAATCATGCATCTTTTGAAAAAATTCTGAAGTAGACTCTAACCGAAAGAGGGGGGTGTCATGGCCCTTTAAAGTGAGCGTCTGAAAGGTCCATTTGCGATAGCACCCTCCCAATGGATATTGGATAAGATGAAATGACCAAGCATCCAGCCCCAAATATACAATCTCATTGAAGCTCCGAGTGATTTTACAAGAGAGAAGTTAAAGGTCTACAAGTCTTTGGATGCCAACAGTGTTCTGTGTGGTCATGTGCAAGAAATAATGCTCCATGACCAGATTCAACACTATGTAGAGCTAAAAACCGAGATTCTGCTCAGCCAAAGACAAGAAGACGGAGTTATACAACGTTATACAAGCAAAGGCCTGGGTAATTAATCACCAACACGCAAAACCACTGCATTGTGACAGCGAACTGCACCTGTACAGCAGGATATGTGAACGAGGTAAAGTCGGTTTTATATTCGCACATTCAGACTTTCTCCTTAATAATGAAATTTCATAAAAATATTATTTACAATCTCTAAATAGCGAAATCTTATTAGCAGCAGTGACTATCAAAGTACAACATGTTCACAGTCAAATAAACTGTGCTAATGTTGTTTTCAAGTCACACTTGCAGGTTATTTCAGACTGAATATTCAAAGTGCCGTAATAAACACTATAGGGAGTGTGTCACAAGTCGTCACTGAATGAATGTGTGAATATTAGGGATGTAACGTATCAGAATTTCACGGTACGGTAATACCTCGGTATGAATGGCACGGTACGGTATTTATTGAATAATTTACAGGAAAAACAAAACTAATGAAAAGACTCGAAAAAAGTGTCAAAAGTGTTTATTTACCTCAGCACTGAACATATCAATGACACAAATCAGCCATCTATCTGGAAGTTTCCAAACAGGATCTTTAATTTTAATAACAAAAAACTATTAAACCATATTAAAAAATAAAGTTTCAATTTAGTTTTGTTGAAAACTCATCACATTCAGCATTTAATCACTCACTCACTCAGATAGAGATGGGCTTTTTAAGGAAAATGATCATATAAATGTAATCTGGTGAAAGCTGGGGTCTCTGGGCATGTCCCCTGCGACAGAATAAACCCCTCTCATTCGGGACTGAGGTTTCTGGGACAGAGAGATATGATTTAGCCAAGGTTGACCGCAGTGGGTAACGCTGTGCATTGTCTTTCCACCACTTGAGAGGACAAGCCATGAGTGAGACAGAGGTCTCTTTGCGGTACAAGTCAATGTCTGCATCAATCTGAACAGTGTGCTGTGTTCTGCAGTCCCCATGACTGTTTGTAGTCGTATTCTCCGACTTATATTTCACCACAGTCTGGCAGTGCCTGCATACTATTTTTGTCTTTGTCTGTCACCTTTTCTCCTTTTTCGTATCTTTTCCGAAAGAAACCGAAATGCTTCCACACATCCGATTTAAAACCCGCTTTAGGTTCGATCATTTCCAGCTCTTTTTCTTCCCCGCTACTAGCAGCACACTCCATTTCTGCATTACTGGATCTGTAGTGACAACAGACCGCAAAGGATGATGGCCACGCCTGGGCTGATGGGAATTGTAGTTCCCGCTACCTCCCGTTCGCTTCATTCGCCTGAGCAAACTTTTCTCAGAAATATAGTTTTATTGAGTCATGCGGTAATATTGAAAATAATTACTATTGCGGTATGACGGTATTTACAATATTGTTACATCCCCAGTGAATATAAAACCCAGTTTACCTCAGTAACTTACACTTTCACGTTTCATTCTTAGCATTCAGTGTCGGCAGTTTAATTCACCTGTGTAACAGCTTTTGCTGCAATCAAAAGCGAGTGATGTGTCTGATTCAGCATAGCGTCAACTTACCTGATATGACATGAAAACTGCAGAGTCCAGCATTTCTAATTAGCTCCTCACTTCATTCAGCTCCCTTTTAGCCAAAGACGTCTGCAGTTAGCATTAAAGCAGTGTGGTGTATGCTAAAAGTTAAGTTTTCTATTTTTGGCATCTTACCGCACAACATGACATCTTTCCTATTGCAGCCTGCCTTTTTTTTGCAACCAGGGACCCGCGTGACGTCATGTGTGACGTAGGTTGGTAATTAGTCTATAGCATATGTGTTTGGACTGGTGAAGAAACCGGAGCACCTGTGGGAAACCCACGCCAACATGAGGAGAACATGCAAACTCCACACAGAAACATTAACTGACCCAGCCGGGACTCAAACCAGCTTCTGCGCCACCGCGCTGAACAAATATAACAGATAAAATAAAGTAATTTAGGGCATTTCTGTCATGTTTTCAGACATGTTCGTATTAAATTTTTAGACAACACAATACCAACATCGGTGGAGTTAAAGGGACAGTTCACTATAAAGTGAAAGTTTACTCACTGATTACTCTCCATCAGGTGGTTCCAAACCTGTTTGAGCTTCTTTATTCTGTTGAACACCAAACAAGATATTTTAAAGAATGCTTTTATTCCTTTATTAATCCGGGGTCGCCACAGCAGAATGAACCGCCAATTTATCCAGCACATTTTTACGCAGCGGATGCCCTTCCAGCCGCAAGCCATCTCTGGGAAACATCCACACACACATTAACACACACACATTAACACACACACTTGTACGGACAATTAAGCCTACCCAATTCACCTGTACCGCATGTCTTTGGACCCACGCAAACGCAGGGAGAACATGCAAACTCCACACAGAAATGCCAACTGACCCAGCCGAGGCTTGAACCAGCAACCTTCAAAAAAAACTTTCAAAGAGAGCTTTTCAAACCGTCCTGTGAAATTTTATTCATATCGCAATATTTGTCTCTGAAAAACAAAATATTACAAAATCTGATTTTCCCAATATTGTGCAGCCCTAGAGCTCATAGTGTAACATAAGCAAAAAAATAAAATAAATGTTTATTTTAGAAAAATTCATGCCCCTAACAGCAAAAATACTACCCAGTATGTATTTTAATTATAAAGATAAAATTGCAGATGTCTTTTGTGTCAGCATTTTGTCGCCAAAGATTTCTCATTCAAAGCAACTGAGGACCTCGCACATTGTAAAATGACACCAGAGATGTAACCCTTGAGCTATAAAAAGAAAAAGAGGCATGCAACAACATAAGTTATACTACCTATTAACCTATTATTTAATGTGTAGGGCCAGACAGAATCTGCAGACATTTTTTTTACATTTCTGCTGAGAATTATGTAAAAAATCAGCATATTTATGTTTTAGGGATTATTTGGGGAGTTTCATAACTAAAAACATAATACACAAAATAAAAAGAATAGCTTTTTACTTTATTGTTTACAATGCAAATCAATCTAGATCCACTTATCCATTGAGAATATGTCTATGGAAGGACAGAAAATATTACTTTACAAACTGTATTGTAAATCAGTGTTAGGGTTAGACTCGGTGCAATGCAATCAGAGCTGCATCAATGCTTGTTACTGCGCTCAACTTACCCCACCCATCAC